ATAAGATTTAACTTACTATCAATAATTGCTATGTTAATTTATGATATTTGAAATGGTTATTATTTATTCAGAAATGCTATGTTAAATGGTTTTTATATATTTTTTTAAGTATACACAATCTAAATTTAYTTAATATTCCTAGTTTTTATAGTTGGCGATAGGTATACAGTCTTAAGTCTTAAATTTGTTTTATCCGGCAATATGATTAAATATGTGAAGCTTWAGATATGAAAAAATAATTATAACTAGGGTTTGGAAGTTATGGGAACTAAAAAAGGCATAATATACAAAACTGAAAACATTAATAAAAGTTCAAAAACGTTATTATTTATTAATACACAAAAATAAATAATTTTATTGAAAACTAAAATACGACACGTAACTTGTTGGAATTTGACTTAAACTGAAAAAATAGTAAAAAAAAATGTTTTCATTCTTTGTAAAGTTAAATGTGAAATAAATATACATATGTATTATAATACCGGTTAAGTTGTTGCATTAAACCACTTTATTATTTATACATTAATACATTATTATATTATTATTTAAAGTACATAGTTAATGAAAGAAAAAAAATCATTTTTTAAGAAAATATTTAATATGTAATATAATTATTGCATTATAGTTTTATAATGCAATATTAAATATGMATGATATGAGTATGAAAACCGAGAAATATGCATTTATTTCTTTAAAATTTACAAAATATGCAAAATATGTATTTTTAATTATTCATTTTTAAAATCAACATTGTATAGATTGGATTTCTAACTTGGTCTGGTATAAACCGAGAGTATACAGAATACTATGCAATTCCTATAACTTTAGAACTCTAATTATAACTAGGTATTCATTAATTTTAAACATTTTCACGTTTTTGTTTCCTGTAATTTGATGATTTTATACCCATGTATTAGTTGACTTTATATAAGATAACACATAAATATACTTTATTGAAAAGCTTAAATCCATTCAAAATTAAAAATAAAACATCAAACTTTTATTTTAAAGATTCACAGACCAAAAGTTTTAACATGTTGGATTTTACTTTTGATAAACATATTTATATGGTGCACATTAACTTTACGGAAAATTAATAAATATAATATAAAAATCAACAAATCCATATTTTTAAATAATTTCAAATTTTAATTTTTAGTTATTTTACCCTGTATTTCAGTTTTAATAATTATAAACGAAAATATGTGTTTCATAAAAAATATGAGGAGTAGCTACCTATAAATTATATTTAAGGATTAAATATAATAAATTACAATCTATAAATAGGTATGCAACAATTTGTTTTTAAGAAAAATATGTTTCAAAAATAATTTACATAATTTAAATATTATATGTACGTATATATAAATAAAAGATAAAATATTTCAAGTTAACAAAAATAAAAATTAATTAATTAATAAATAAATAAATAAATAATGGTAGGCAAAGGTCACAAAATAGAAATTATTAAATGCTTCTTTCGTCAGTGAAATTGAGCTCAAAAAACCTTATTCTGTTTCTTTGGTCAATGTATTAATAAGGAAATAAAACAAATTTTAACTTTCTATTACTTTTCCAACGCTATAAATCTGTACTTTCAGGTTCTTTTTTTGTAGTTAAAACTGGAGGTGGAGGTGGTGGAGGTATGGGTCGCTGAGTTCTTGTTGGAGTTTTTGATGCTGGCAATTGTCCTAAAATTGATTTCAGATCTAAATTAAAACATCTTAAAATAGTTTTTAATATGCTAACCAGATTGGATGTCTGATGGTATATGACTGTGACTGTGACTAGAAAAATTTGGACTTATATACCCACCATTGTCATCATTTTGACTTTCTTGGTTTGTATAATACATATCCATGATATCTAAAATTCAAAAATAAATATTACCAACAAGCATTTTGAAAACATTTGTTATAAAAGCAAAATTAAATATAATAATTAATTCTCACCAGTTTGTTGATTTTGGTTAATTTCTTTATCATCACATTGATCACCAACTTGTATCAATGAAACTTGTTGTTTAGACACAGTATACAGATGTGCTCTTTCTAACATAGGCCCTTGATCCACCTATAATTATAAAAAAGGAATCAATATTGAAGCATGTAAATTTAAATTAAATAATAATTACATCTACTTTATCATTAGAAACATCTGTTAATATTTTAAGACTCCTAAATGAAGAACTTAATGGTCTTTGTAAAGATGCTGGTCGTTCAGGTATGGCAGGTTTACGGAAAACTGAATCATCAGATGTTTCAAGTATTGTGCGTGGAGCAACTGCAGGCTTAACAGGGCGTTTTAAAGAACCTGTATCAACAGCTGGTAACTTTTCTCTAGGAGATTCGGTAGTTTGACTAGGTTTCATTAAGGAACCAGGTGGAGGTTTATCACAGTTTGCTTTATCTTGGTCTTTTATAGTGACTSGAGGACTTTCAAATATGTTGTTTGTCTTTATTGTTGGTGATGGTGGAACAGGAGCAGGTTTACTTTTACGTCCTCTTGTGTGCGGTTTTGGGCTCTCTGATGGAGGGCTAAATATATCATAATCAAATTTTATACTTTATTAATTAATTTAAACAGTTCAATAAATATTGGTTTTAATAGTTTAATAATTAATTAAATAAAACACATGTTAAATATACAAAATAAATCAATAAACACACAAACATTAAATACCTCATGTCAGTAATATTAGTACTAGATCTACTTCGTTTCAAATTTGTATCAAAAGTATCATTTGTATATATCAATTGCGTATCTCCACTACTTGATCTTTTATGGCCATTAAAATCATTCATGTCCAATACCTTTAATGTGACATAAAACTCTTCTTCTGAAATTATAATGTTTTTATTATTTAATAATGAACATAMAGGTACTGATTACTATCAAAAATTTCATTTTTACCCCCAGGAAAAATCCAATCTGAATGGGAAATTAGACAGTCTACAATAATATTATGACATGCAGCTGCGTTCATATTTAACCTAGAGCATAAAAAGAACAAAAAGGAATAATAGGCAATACAAACATTCAATAAATAAGAATTCTTACCCTATATTATCATTTTTATCTTCAGGTGTCCATAAAAGATTAGGTGCAATGACTATAGCCAAATTTTGTGGACTCATTTTATTTACATCTTGATGTTTAGTCAACAAGGCCAAAAATTTAATTATATATCGTAAGTTATATAAATTTGATTGAGGTAACTTTTGAACAACATTTAGGATTGCCTGAAGTCTACTTTCACTAGTTTGTAGTCTAATACATAATCAGAATACATTATAAAATTATTAATGATAATAACATTATACTATTGGGTAATTAATAAACGTAGATTGTATACATACTTAGCTGCAGCCATCCATTCTTCATACAAATGATGAGTTAATAGAGGTTCAGGTAACTGTCTCAAATAAGATTTTAAAACACCAGCTATTATGTGAGGATCTCTGTATTCAACTGCTGATTCTAAATCTAGACAATTAGAATCTAATCTGAGTTTCATACATCGTACTTTAGAAGCACCAGCTGCAATTCGAAATAATCCTTCTTCTTCCACACCCATTTCCAATAAAGCACAAATACATAGTTCAATTGGGTAGGCTATTCGTCTTTTTGTAACTCTTAAATGGTCTTCAAGTTTTTGACCAAAAACTGGCTTTGAAGGGTTACTATCTGTRTAAAATTCATTAATTAATATTTAAAACATTAAAGGATTATTGAACATACCTATAACAGTTTCTAATTCAGGAACTATTTCATCTAAAATCGCTAATGCAGTTTGATGGTAAGAACGTTGATGTTTTATTAATTCCATAAGAACAGATGAAAGTTCTGCTTCTCGTGAAATTAATTGAAATATTTCTGATGCCAAAGAGTCCTAAGAGTAATTTAAAAAAAATATTTATTTCTTTAAAAATAAGAACTAATATTGAATATTTTATACACATACTTTGCATTGTTCGACTTTCAATTCTATGTCTTCTAATTCTTCTTTAACTGCATCTACTTTATTAGTATGAGAACTACCAGAGTTAGAGTTTTTTAAGACTCCTTGATATCTAAAAAAAAAATACAAATAATAGTAGTTACAACTTATAATACTAAAAAATCAAAAATATTATATTAATTATTTATTAATATAACACTCAATTCTGATAACTATTAAATATTATGTTTATTAAATAAATATTTTTTGAAATTAAATATTTATACAAAAATATGGATTTCAAAGAAAATAAGGCAATAATCCAATATAATAATTATAAAAAATTTATAATTTAGTTTTACTAATAAATATAAAGAAATATTACTTTGCTCGAGCTAAATCCATATCAAGCACCAATTTAGTAAGCAATCGTTTTTGCTTTATAATATTTGGCACATCTATATCAAGAATTTGTTGTAGCTTACTAAGCACTGTTTGTTCAATACGTGATTCATAATCTACACCTGCATTAGCTAAACATATTTGTACTTTGCTACATTCCACTAATACTTGTCTAAAAAATAATAAACAATTAAAATTAACTTTATATTTAATTAAGTCTGAGTCAAACAAAATTAAGCCACTTTACATAAACAATTTTGATTAGTAAATCTAAAGGTAATTATTATTTTATTTTACCATAGTAAAAAAAAATGATTATTTTAAAGAATGGGAGAGTAATAAAGAAAATTTTTTCTTATCCATTCAAATGTTTGTTAATCTATCAGTAGTTTTAATACAAACTGTAAATAAAAGTATAAAATAAAAAATATTTTACCTTAATAAATTATCTTCTTCATTAGAACCATTATCAAGCATTGCCATAGCTAGCAAATAATCAGGCATTTTTTTCTGAAACATTAAAAAAGAATTATTAATACATAAGAAAAAATTATATTAGGTACATACAAGTCGTTTTTCACGTGCAGGAGCGTCATGACCAAGTCCAGGTGATATTAGTGTGGCTAATAATTTTTTTGTAGTATTCTGACAAGCATTTTTAATAAATTCAACTCGTTTTTCAGCTGTTTGTAATGTATCCGAAAGAGCTTCAGTTTTACCAGACCTTTAAATTTCAATCAATAAAATTTAAATATTTATAAGCTTATAATTATAACATAAAAATTTAAACCAACATACCTAGAAAATGTTTGGTCTGCAAATTGCTTAACCTTAAAAAACTGCCTTTTCATCTTCGTTATGCTTGGATAAAACTTAAATAGTATAAGTTGGTAAAATAGGTAATTATATCATATTATTGTTGTCATAAAATGAGTAATTGTATAACCTAAAAACCAAAAAATAAAAAATAATTAAATTGTTGTAGTCACAAATGGYAGACGTATACAATTATCATAAAAATTAGGTAAATATTAACATCAATTTGATTAGAGAATTGTTTAAAAGTTATGAGATTAGAAATGTTTCAATATTAGAATATCTATTATTTGAAATAATTGTACGATTTAAATAAATACTTAATGTGTTAATACATGAAATAGTTTTTAAAGCATTATTATTTCTACAAWAACTTAAATTGAAAGCATTTAGTACTAAATAACATGTATATAATAATAATAAAATGCAATCTTATAATGAGAGGTATATACTCGGGAATTAAAGAAAATAAACTAGATAACATTATTAAGGCAAGGCCTTTAACTAATTGTTTAACTTATTAAATAAGTACAGACAATAATATAAACTGAATATACTGTAAGTTTCACAATGAATAGTAATAACTAATAATAGTGTTATTTAGTATTTAGTATATTTTAATATAATGTTTTATGAAATATTACAACATAATACAGTGAATAAGTGACATCAATCAACAAACAATGATTGTGCCTGATAATTACTATAAAAATATGCTCACAATGAGGCAAGAAAAACCTMGTATAGCCCCAAAATGTATTAGACACCATTGAAAAAAAATAAATATTTTTATATAAAAGATGAATAGAGGCATACCTACATGTTGGCTGTATCATTGCATTCAATTAAAGTTAAATAAAAAAAAATATAACAACAAATACAATTAATCATTATCATAGACCAATCAAACAGTATTATTAAATGTTTCATAAAAACTTAATTGAATTGTTTTTTTTTTTTTTAATTCTAAGACATGATAAAGATAATCAGTTTCAAAATGTTAATATTGTATAATTTGTGTTAATTTTAGATGCATAAAATAAAATATAATTTATTTAAAATTAATTAATTGAAAGATTCACAATAAATTAAAGTGAAAGTAAATTTATGTTGTTAATAATAAATGAATCTACCAACAGTTAGTCATTTCTAAAAATAATAAAATTAACACGTTGGCTACCATGAGTATCATAGTTGTCTCACACCATGATACAATAGACATAATTTTGACGATCTCTGGTTATGTACCATGAGAGTCACGGGGGACTCAYAAATCGTCATTATGTGTGTATCGTGTGAGTTGCTGGTGACTCTCAGGTATTTCGTTTTCTTAAAGTTATGTAGAATTCAATAACCAAGAAAACTTATATTTTTTGARAGTCACGGGTGATACTCATCGTAAATAAAAAAATATTCTTAAAATCAAGTCTGGTGGCCAACGTGTTAATAGAAGAATGTACCACTTTGGATTATGTGTATAAATTTGTAATTTTTATTTTATTCAATTAAATATAAATATCTATTTAATTAATAATTTAAATTGAATAAAAACAATGTTAATTAGGACATTACGGGTTATAACTCTCAGATGTATATATTTACTATCTTAATAATTGTTATAAAATGTATGTAAATTACCTACAGCAATAAAGAATAGCACGAAAATGTTTAATAAGCTATCAAATAATTGCAAGCAAAATTAACTACAACAATAATTTGTAATTGAAACTCAAGATTTTTTTAACTGCTTATACATGCATAATCTAGGCAAAATATTGAATGCAATATTTTATTTTTACTACTATGGCTATATTTTGAGATTTTGAATCAGTTGTTTCAATAAAAAATAACAATTTTATTTAACTACATACAATATTATGATTCATAAATAAATGTCTATGACCTACTCATATTGCAAGT